TTCAAGGCAGCTTTTGAGTCTGAAGGGGTGGGAATTTGGGGTACAAATCAAGCTGTAGTGGTGTCCTCAAGGTATACCTTCCAAAAAGATATGAAGGAACTCTATGGCACCTGCTTTTCTGCCTTCACAAAATACTACTTAATGGCTGGAGCACTGGTGGCTTGGTGAGCAGTGCCTGAATTTTGTCAGTATTATCTTGAAATCACAGAATGGTTTGGGTTGAAAGGAACCTTCAAGATCATCAAGTTCTAACCCCCTGCCATGTGTAGGGACACCACCCACTAGACCAGGTGGCTCAAAACCCTATCCACCTTAGTCTTGAACACTTCCAGGGATGGATTGCTGCTCTGAGCAACCTGTTCCAGTGTCTCACCACCCCCATAGGAAAGAATTTCTTCCTAATACCTTATCTAAACCTGCCTTGTTTCAGTTTGAAGCCATTTCCCTTTGTCCTGTCATGACAGGCCCTTGTAAAAAGTTCCTCTCCAGCTCTGTTACTGCCTTCCCCCTTTAGGTACTGAAAGGGTAATTCACCTTCATCTTGTATTAGTAACTGTCATGTATTAAGTATCATGTAAGTCATCATGTATTAGTAAGTTAGCAGGAACAGACTGTGTGGAGAAGAGGAAATGATCCGGCTTCTTTGAAACGTGCTGCCCTCATAAAGTCCACAGCCACAGGTCACTCTGCTTCCCATGGCCAAAGGCAACAGGAAACAGGCAATGGTACTGGCGATGTCCCAGCCCCCAGGCAAGGTCAGCTATGCTCAGGGAGGATGAACTCTGTGGTAAATAAGTTTCTGCTGCTCCCATTCTAAACCTTTGGTCTCCAGTCCAGAGCTCTACCCCAGTGCTTTCCAACCCATAGGGCTGATTTTTCACTCCTTTATACCTTTCTTATCCCTTGTGTTCTACATTCCCTGCTGTCCCAACAGGGACTTGCTCCAAGTTTCTTTTTACCCAAGCTCTTAGTCCTGTCCTGTGTTTATTTACATTAATCACCATCACTGTTGCCACCACACTTTTTGGATCACCTGGCCTGACCATGCCTACTCCTATGGTCAACTTCCCCCGCAAACAGCAGTACCTGGCTCCTGCAGCTTGGATTTTGAAAACATTGTGTGTGTTTATATCCCAGAAAAGACCAAATCTAGGGAAATTTAGTGATAACTATTTAGCAGCATTTTCTTTGTACTGGAAGGGCCTTTAAGACCTTGATTTTATATTGTCAAATCTCTGAAATGGTTTGTCCTAACACTTTGGGGTTTTTTTGTAGTTTGCATTGAAATATAATTCTGCAGCCCTAACAGACATATTGGGCTAGAGGTCTGCTCACTTGGGTGTATAGGAGAGAAAAGCATGGAGTATTGTGTAACATATGCTCAGCACATCTTAAAGAACTACTGTTTCTTGGAGTCATGTTTCTTTCCTTCAATGTGCAGAAAAAAATGGGAATTGCATGGATAATGTATTGAATGGAAAAGACTCCAAATAAAATAAGACAGTCTGTAAGGTAGGCGACTTTGTATATTGCTACATATTCTTAAATAAAAATGAATATGTGTTGAAGTGCCAGTAAGCATTCATATTTTTGATTATTGTTTCTCATAATTTTAAGGTAGTTATTTGAAGTGACATTCAAAGGTAATAATTGTGCTGTGAAACTGTCATCACTGTTTCATCGCCTGGTATCGATTTTGGCAAATTACAAGTGATGCCCAACTTTTATCAGGGTTTGGTGTTGAGTACTGCTGATGGTGTTTCAAGAGCAGAACTGTGCAACTGTTAAACTACATAAGAAATAGTGACATTTAAAAGACAGTTTTGGCATATAAGTGCTTACATGCCAACCCTGATTACCATTGAGAAGCCTATAAAATCAAAGGGTAGTTAGCTGAAAGTATTAGGAGAGAATATCTGTATTGATTTAGATACATTGATGTTTATAATAGAAAGTTAATTTTAGGTACTTTTAAGTACTTTTAAGTACACCCTGGTATTGTGGTGAAGAACTCCAAAACCAGCTATGCATAGTTTGAACTTTCTGACTGGTGGGAGGTACATCTAAATGTCATTTAGAGGTTGGTTGTCATGAGTTTCTCCAGGTGAGATGGAGTTTGGCACATACTCCTCTCTCTCACCCGTCTCCTCAATGGCACGTGGCTTTTTGGTACTGCCGCTGGTGGCTGCTGAGGAGATAGTGACACTCTTGCACTAGCTTGGCTTACTCAGAACCTCAGTGGGGACTCCTGTCACAGCCTGCTTACCTCTCCAGGCTCTTCTGTGTGAGCTCTGCCTCTGAAATACAGAGATTATGCTTAAAAGAAAGACCCAAAGAGCTTAGACTAGTGATGAGATTCGGTATTTTTTTTAATTGCTCAGACTATTTTGGGGCATAAACCATGGCTATTTCAGAACATTAAATTTGATCTTATTGGGGTGCTCATTTCAACCTTCTTGAGTTCTTAAATGGAAACTGATGTATCACATGTTAGTGATACAATTTTGAACTACAGAACTCAGTAGGAATGTGTAAACTAGAGAAATACAGAATGTAACCTCTTCTTTAAGGAAGGGAGAGCTACAAATAACTCCGTTCCCTAAACATTTTCCTAACATTGCATTAACATTGCTTTTTGAAGTGCCATATGAGTACAACTAAAAAGTTGTAAGTAAATTACTTTTTAGCAGAGGCAGTGAAAGATGAATGAATAGTAATCAGCTTGTACTGTGTCAGTATCAATCTTATTAAGGAAGTCAAGTCTTGCAGTTCATTTGGAGCATACATCAGTGATACCATCTTAAAACTGTGTAGACAGCTGGGCAGTCTCTTGGAAGGACCAGTCTTAAGGTTCCCTGGATGTTTGTTACTTCTAACTAAAGCAATCCTAAAGACTTCAATTTTTAATAGTCCTACATTTTTATCTGGTAAAGAAAATGTGAAGAATAACCACTTGGGAATTATCACACTGAATGTCTTCTCTTTTTTATGGTCCCTTACTAGAAAAACAGCTAGTGGGCTGTCTTTTCTGTCTTATGATAATTATGTGCAGTTCTTTGTAAGAAGACTTTGATGCTTTAAGGTGCCTCTCTCTGCAATATGATGTCCTACCTTGAATTCTTTTTGTAACCTCTTAAAACCTTCTTTGCTGATTACTTCCCATATATTTCTTTCCATTTAGAAAACCATTAAATATTTTCTGATTTTGCTATATCGCTCTAGGACAAAGTTAGCTCAATATACTGGATTTTCCAGTTCCAGACTGAATAAATTTGATTTACTGTGGCTGAAAATTAGCTCAATATGCTTATCTTGACTTATATATACCATTGCTAAACCATTGCCTAACAATACGAGTCTTCCTGATGGAGACTGGCACACTGATAGGGAAAGGGAGGAATCCACTTGCCTGTCTGTCCTGTGGCTGATGTGGTCCTATCCTTACTGATTTTTTTTTTTTTTTGATATTTCTGTCAGTGCACTGGAAATTTTTATATACCATATCTAATTATGGAAAGTTATTTGAAGAGTGATAGTTCAACACCTCTTCTTACTTAACTGTTTCATGTGTGTGAATGTTTTGACTTCATAATTTTGCTGAGTTCCACCAATTCCCACTGTTGGTGAACAAGTTTAAGGTCATATATATCATATTGTTGTCAGAACTGGGAAGAATCAAGATCCTACTAAGGTATGTATAGTATGTGAGCCCAAAATTATTTACTGCTATCTAAGTTTCTGTTTTCTTTTGTTTATGAAAACAGGCCTGGCAATGGTGAGAAATGACTTGAAAATGACAGGTGGCTTAGTTACTAAAAAAAAAAAATCTCTGTATGAATTATAAGTGTGTATGTGTGTGTATATATATATATTTATGTATGCTTAATAATGTAAGAAAGAGACACCTCAGTGTCATTGCTTAAGCTGAGTGATGTCTACATTTGTACTTATTTCTGGCTATTTAGTTTAATTCGTGCATGAGGCCTTATTGCTAGAGGGAATGGAATGTAAAATTGAAGGAAAATATAAAATAGCAAACACTTAATGAAAATTTGGAGCTACTGAGGAGTATGATGGGTTTTCAATGTCCCTTATAATCAAAACAGAAACTCTTTCCAGGTTTTGTAATCAAAAAAGTTCTCATTATTATGAAGAACCTGTATTTCAGTGCAGTGCTTATGAGGCTCTAAAATGGAGGGAATGATTTCTGGGCCCTTGCTTAGCAAGAGGAACATTGTAATTATAAAGTCAGAACAGAACACTGCTCTCCTGCCCTTTTTGCTGGCCAGTGATGTTCTTGTCAGCCTGTTTGTAACAGCAGTGCCCTAATGCTCCTCTGGAAGTTGGAATTTATGTACTGATAGCATTGACTTGCACAGTATCTGCAGAAATCAAACTCTTTTCCAGAAGTATGAACAGGCATTTGAGACAACTTATCCACTGTCCCTCTGGATCCTTGGTGGTATAAAGTACAAAACAACTTTATTAAGACTTGAAGAGAACAGCATGAACAAACTGTATCTGTTTATTCAGCAAACAGTTAGGCAATATTACAGAGATTCTCTGGTTGATGTAATTTTTGTATTACTGTGCCTACTTTTATGTGCCCTAATCTGTTTTAAGTCTTAGGCTTGCTGCTCTGAATGTGTGTTTATGATTCTTTTCTCTTGCTGTCTCTTTGTCTCCAATGGTCTCTAATAAACAGAAAAGGCACATACCTGACATTCTTCCATGTTACTCAGTGGCATCCATCACAAAGAAGCCTATGAAATTGTTTTGTTGAAGACCTGCTTGCAACATAAACACGACTTACTGGTGTTCACCCATCTTTAATGTGCATTTTCCTTTCACACAGAATTGTGTAACCAGATTTGCAAGGGTAGCTCTTGCTATCATGATGAAGATTGGTGCCCTGCTACGGTTTGGTAACAATTTCTGCAGATGCAGAAAAAACTTACGGATATAAAGTGATATCTTAAAAGATTCTTTTCATTTTTTAGGCTACTCACCCAGAATGTTGGTCTTCTTTATGTTGGAAACTTTGACAGACCGTTTGCACAAATTAAGGTATGATTAATAAGCTGGGGGGGGAGGGGGTTATTTAAGTTATTTCACTTCTGTATGATTTAGAGAACTTCAGCACTTCAAGTTATCAATATAGCTTCAGGAAAAACAATGGGAAATAGTGCTGTTTGGTTATGTTTACCATATTCTGGATTTGCTTTTGGTTTAATCTGTGCTCTTAATTTGTCAAAGAAGTTTAGTGTTTCCAATTATCTTTTGATTAATTTTGACTCTGGTTTAATTACCAGAAGGTTTTCTTGTCAGAGACATTTCAAAGCAAAGCTACTATTGAAGCCCTGTAGTTCTTTAAGTGATCCTTGACAGGGATCTGCAGACTCTGCAGTAAAAAGCACAGATTGTTTTCCCAGTATTATTAGATATATTATGAAAGACTCATACAATTGCTGGAAAATAATTTGTCTTTTATGAGTTATTGTTTCTTTTTCTTCAGTGGAACTATAATAGCTTCATGTTTCGAATTGCCAGTTGCTAATTAGTTATTGCCATGTCACTTGCAAACAAAAATGTTTTACAAGTATATATGGACTGATTCTGATGAGTGTCATTGATATTTTCATTAGAACAAAGAGAGGGAGGCATTAGCATGTCAGCCATTACACTGCAATGTGGAAATGTGGTATCTGTTTTATAATGCTGAAGTGTTGCCATGTCCTAGATGATACCTGTAATTATTACATATTCTGCACTCTTGGCTGCATTGTTCCCTCCATCATGTGCATATGCTGGTGCTTCAGAATGTTAAAAACCTTGTTTTTGTTTTACATCAAAACGAAACTTAATTTCTAAAACTCAGATGTGTTCCTCTGCCATCCCTAATTATGTTACTAAACAGTATTCCCAAGCTGTATCTAGCAAATACGTTTTAGAAGTTAAACTTTGGTACTATATTAAAATTATTTTAAAATAAGAAATGCATGCTTTTCATCTTCCTATTTCCCTTTCACTCATCTCCTCAGTTCCTACGTGTGTATTGTTCAGTTTGGCTAATAACCAAACAATTAAAATGTTATTTGCATGAAACAGCTTGCTAGAAGTTTCTTCAAAAACAAATTCTTCTTCTATACTTTTGTTGATACCTCTTCAGAACAGTGCTTCTTTAAAAGCTTTATAGAAGTTAACTGTTCTCCTGTTCTAAAAAATTCTCAGTTTCTGCCTGCTCCATCCACTTATAAGAATATTAAGTAGCAAAATGGGAGGTTTTTCCCATGACTGAGAAGAGCTTAAGTCCCCTGGTGGAAGTGAGAGAGAAGAGGTGAATACCCCATTTGTTTTCTGCTGCTTGCAGTCAGCAGTGGTACCCCTCCTAATACTTTGGGCCAGGGAGAGACCCTTCTGCTCACAAGACAGAGATGCTGTACAGGATCCAGCTGCAGGACTGAGTGGCAGGCCACTTGCAAATGCTTAGGAAAGAGGGCACTAAAAGGATAAAGACAAAGCATGCAGACAGCTTCCTGCAATTTGCATGCGTCCTCTTCTCTGCTGGAAGTGGTATCTGCATCCTGTTGCTTAATAGACTCACTTGGACTTGCCTCCCTCAGTGTGCTTGAGGGATTTTCCACTAAATTTTCAACATACAAAGCCATACTATCATTGTGAGTTAAGGTATTATTTTACATCTTTTAAATCTTTTGCCAAATTATTCTTTTTGGTTCAACCTATCCCTTATGTCAAGAGAAGTGATGAGCAGCCATTCTCTATTCCTGATCTTTATCTTCCCCTCCGCATTACCCAATCTTGCATCCTCCAGACCACAGGAACTTAATCTATTTAATTGCTCCTGAAATCCTGCCTGTATCTCCAATTGGTTTTTTGTTTTACCTACCCTTCTATATTTCTATTGTTGCTTTTTTAAGAGTAGGGGATGGCATGGTGTCGAAGACATGGGCACAACTGGGTTTTCTGTTGTGTCTGCAGTTCTTTATACATGGTACCTTGCATGGTACCTGATGTAGTTAATTTGAGTAAGTTAATACTGGACTTTCTGGTAATATATCACTGGTGTAGTCTCATCCTAAATGTTGCATTTGCCACAGAATAGGTTAAGTGGATAATCAAAATAAATTTCAGTTGCTGCGTTCAAAAAACAAAACCTATTTTCCACTTAATTACTGGAGATTACAATGATAAGTTTGAATAAGCGAATTCCACAAGATGTACTCTGTAAAATATAACTTAATTTTGGAGCTATAGGGATATATATATGGGTGTATGCTTGCACACTGTTGCTTTGCTTTGCTTTGCTTTGCTTCTGGTCCTAAAAGCAGTGCTGCAGTGGTGAGCTGATTGGTGTGCATTATTATTACCTTCAACTGGGAAAGGGCATGTAGTTAACAAAGACAAAAAGCTTTTGAAATTGAAGCTCCTCTCTGGTTGCTTGAGATTCTAGATTGATTTTTGCTGCATGGCAACAGGAGGAACTGGTATAGAGTGATGGTGCCACAAGTTTATAGAGCTCTTCAACACCAAAAAAAGAAAAAGGGAGTAATAATTCACAGTGAGAGTTGGTGGTGCAAAAAGAAGTTTATGTACTCTAGAGATGTACAGTGGTCTTTCCTAACTGTTGACACAGGTTTCTTTTATTCTTCCCCCAGCACTTCTTCAGGTGTTTAATATGCTGTTGCTAATGATCCCATCAGTTAAAAGATCAGTGAACTACATATGGCCCTTGAATATATATAAGGCAGAATCTCTATAACCTTTTAGTTTAAGTATGCTTTTACACACTGTGTGACAGATTGGTCCCTCTTGTTAAATAAATTACCCACTTATGTTCATTTGCAAAACATCCCAAGTATTACGTATTCTATTAAGATACAGCATTTTTTTTGCCAAATGTGTGCATTAAGGAATGCCCCAAACCATTGCAGTCCTCTGCCAGTGTAGATTTATTACTCAAAGTGGACCTTTATTAGACAGCAGTACTTCCAGTGCATTTTAGTGCACTTTCAGTTGGACAAGTAGGAATGTTACCACGTCTTTGAAACATTCATAGTAACATAGAAACTCATATATAGTAGTCATATATAGTGTTCATATATTCATGTTTCAGCTTATATGCATTTGCAAAAAGAAAAACTCTTTATCAAAGTATCCCTTCCCAAAAGCAAACACGTTTGACTTTCCAAAACTATGCAGGAGATAATTGCGACAATGTCTTTGATGATGAAGGACTCTAGATGGCAATTCTGAGAAAAGAGTTTCAAATAGTAATGTCTCTTCTAGGATGATTTTTCTATGTCTTTCTTTCTTATATCAATAATTCATTAATATATATTAATATTTATAAAGTTTCTGAGACATAGCTGAACTGATAAGATTAACTGAAATTACCTGGTCTTCCTCCTCAACTTGCTTTCACTGGTGTCAGTGGTTGAGCTTGATAGGTGTTGGATATCTGTACTTCATTATGCAAAAGAAATGTGAATCATTCACTCCTGAAGCTTTTGAATCTTGCATCTGGTAGCAGATGGATAGAAGAAATGGGAAAAAAGTTTTCCTGGTGAGAGGGATCTGCCTGGAACTTAACTCTTTTAATAATCTGCTAGTTCATATTGCAAGATTTTTGCAAGATTTTTGTGTTGCTATTTTGAACAGAGTTTATGACAGAACATTTAAACTTTTGCTCAGTGTTTTGGATTGCTCTTGTTCTAGGGTAATATTTAGTGAGTTTCAGTAAGTTCAGTGACATATATAAAAGATGGCTGTTTCAGTTAGCTTATGAGACAATTAATTATTTCAAAATTCTGCTATGGTTTCTAATTTTTTTCCCCAGGGGATTGTTCTTTAAGTTTATATTGAAGGAATCAATTTAATAGAGGCTAGTTACTTAAAAAATTTTTTTTTTCTAAATGAAATTATTCTAAATTATTGTTTAATTCTAATGTCCATTCAGTGGTGTTGTAGAACAGCTTCACCATAGGTGTTTGCTTTCAGTATCTTATCTCATTTAAGCTATGTTAGTAGTAGTAATAGTAGTATTTACTGTCACTTCAGCTTTCTTTCAAAGACCTCTGGAGCAATGCAATGATTTGCAGCTTTCTTTGGATCTTAAGTGGTTTAGGACCAGTGGTTTTCTTATTTGTTAAACGCCTGTTGGAAATTTGGTGAAATGAAAAAGGTTTCTGTAAGTTATCTTGATCAAGAAGACAAAGTGTTGTCATCAGCTGGAATTAATTGGCAAGCTTTCTTTTATATTTTTTCCCTAAGTATTGTTAGTATTTTTTTGCTAACAAGGATGCCAGTAAAGCAAAAACTTTATAATAGAAATTTTGTGCTTATTAGAAGTAACTAAATCCATTGTCCCAGTATACATAACAATTGCCCAATGGAAGAGTATTTTACTGGGGTTTTATGACACATTGTTTTTAAACTTTAGATTTGATTAGTGTGAATTACAATGAAAACTTAGCTAAACTATATGCAGTAATTATATCTATAAAGAAAATCATACTTCTTAATCAGTTTATTAGGATTGTCAGTTTTTGCAGTTCAGTTCCTAGTAGCTTCTGGGGTTAGGGGAAATGGTTCAGTACATTGTGTTCTCCATTATTAATAAGTAATGAAGCTTCTGGCAGTCTTTACTGTGAGCTAATGACTAGTTTCATTTTTTGGCTTTCTTAGCACATTAAATTACCATTTAAATAAAGATTAATTACTACTGTTTTATTTTTAGTATTTTAAGAGTAGTTATTAAAAGTTTCGTAGTAACTACTACTTTGTTCAAAATAGAATTGTTCTATTTGATAGAATATGAGGACAGTTACATTGAAAAGAATATTTTGAAAATAATAATATGTTGCTAGTATTTTGTTTTTATGATAGGATCCCAGTGGAAAGATTCTGAGTTTTAAGTTTGCTTCTGGGGAATTTGCTGCTGTAGTTACAGCAGTCTTGCTGTCAAGGACTAGCAAGGAATCAAGATCAAATGCTCTGACCTGCATGTCAGTAGCCCTAATCTGTGATTTTATTAAACTTGAGAACAGTGTTGC